CTTTGGTGCCAGCGTCTGAGAGGACGGGCGGTTAACTGCAAGTGTTTGGCGTCACAATTCTCTTCACCTTTGGCCAGCACAAGAAAAGGCCCAGCACAAATAAACTGACCACAGAAAAACGCAGCAGCCACAGACCAACCAACAAGCACGTTCAGCAAGCAAGCAACTCTGAAACGTAAACTGCCCTAAACCTCCGAGCAAGTTAGCACATAAACTGAACCCCTGAGTGAACTCCTCACCCAAAGCTCGGCCACGTTGCCGTCGGCGTGGTTGGGCTTCTGGAGCTTTCCGGGCTGCCCCAGCTAGCCCCTCCGTCCAACCACTCCAAACTGAGAGCGTCGACTTCTTTGCGCTATGTGCCGCTGCAGTCCCCCTGATGCGAATATCCAGGTCCAAGAGCTGGTCCACAGGGTTTCAGAGATGCAGCGCGAGGCCGTGACAAGCTTCGCAGATGGTTTCGGACCGAACAGAAAGAGATCTCAATGTTGAGTCTTCGCCGATTGATACAGACGACATGGATGTATGGTAACTAATCGTGGCAGCCGTGCACCAGTGCTTTAGCTGCATGACCGAGTGAAAATGATTGAAAATGTACAGTTACTTCAAACTCTGACACCCATCGAAGCTTTGGTAGGACATCCAGTGGATGAGTGATCGGCCTGCACTGTATCGTAGGGATCGCTTGGGTTTCGAATGACGTCACGAAATCTCGCTCCAGACTCCCCAGTCATCAGGCCGAAGGTGTTTCGGCATTGGCTAGAAAGTGAGCCCTTCGCCCGTTGCGAGAGGGAGGGAGGAGACAGAACACGTTGGGTGTGCTAGGTCTCTGGGCTGGTGTCGGCTTCAACTACGGTGCAACATATGCAACAAGACAACTGGTTATCTCGCAGCCATCGCAGAAGACCTGCGACACGGAAGCATAGCTACAGAATAGGCGCACTGAGAAACGGCTACAATCGCTAGAATGTGCTGCCGGCTTTCTCCTCGCCTGGTGTAGGAAGGCTTGTCGTCTTGGATGTCCCAGATATCCTTGTCAACAGCGTTTGCTAAAAGCTTCGTTGTAGATGAAAGGTTTTTGAGCTGCCACTGCAGAACATGAGCTGAGGACGGCGCAGCAGCAAGGGCAAGGGGATGGACGTCTCACTCCGCACGTGGCTGCCGTCGATCATAGGGCATCGGCGGAAGCAAGCATCCTTGTGATGCTGAGAGGCTATACGTCTTGGCGGCAACAACATCACACGTCAGCCTGCCAAGCTGTTTTTGCGAGGTATCCTGCAGTGCATTCGAAGAACATACTGAAATTCTTACGCTTTTACTTGGACGAGATGCTTCCGATTCAAGCTGGTACTTGTAGCCAGCATCACCATGGAACATGCCTAGTCCGGCCTAGGCCTTTGCAAACCTCGTCAGTCTCTGCATGCATTGATTGGTTTACATATCATATCGAGGCCGTGCAATCTAGTTCGTGTAATTCCCAGCAGCTGGCACCGCAGGCTGAACAAAAAAGGACATGACCGTAGACTATTTGCCCGAATATGTCAGGCTAGGGCCTAGGTACTGTAGAGCTATCAGCTTTTTGTGCACGCACGTTGAAAACCTCAGTCTGAGAAGCGTAGAGACGAGAGGGCTTGATTAAATGCTGCACTGCGAAACAAATCTCCGACAACAGCCTGTGGAGGCGACGTACTCAGACCTCTCCAATGAAACAATGCAAATGCAAATCACACGCAACAACGGCTAAACAAAATTTATCCTCCTATTTTATGCAGTCCGACTACTGGGTCAGGGGATTGCTCGAGGGGCCGGCATCCTCTGCACATCTGGCTCGAGTTGTCGGACTTGAGCGTGGTGTACCTTTCTGATCCTTTTTGTTGCTGTCCGCTGCGCGATGGGGTCTCCGCAGTGAGATTAGCATCATGTAGCGGTGTCCATGACTGAAACTCCCTCAACAGCAGGCCAGTTGATGTTCTCCATCTCGAGTCAGTGCGCAAAGAGCCGGCCTGTGTAACATCGGGAGAATGACGGCCGCCCTTTCATTTGAAGAACCTTCGCAGTTTCGCCTTGCTGTTCTTGCTGAGCTTGTGTCAGAGACTTGTCGGGCTCTAGACAACGGTCTCCCAAGCAACGTAGCGAATACATCTACGGTCTCATGCCAATGCACTGCCCATCCTTGTCCACGGCTTGCGTTGAAGGAAACTGGTATACATGGAACGGCCGGACCTGCAAAAGAAGAAATGACACAACGTGCTGCCTCCTCCATGGCGTAGGCGTAGGCTTCGTTTGCCTATCCGAGCTGCCCAGCCCCTCTTGATCTTTCAATCCGGGAATTTCGCAGCTTTCCTTGCAATTTCGCAATGACTGAGATACAATACACCGTCGTGATACATCGCCATCCTCATCCTTCACTGCTCCGTTCAGGCGGTACATTGGCAGAACTTGATCCAACTGCGCGTGCTCCCGCTCCGACATCTGCCACAAGTAAAACGGGATGTTTGCCCACATGCTGCACTGTCGATCGAATCGAATCCTGCAGATCCCGAATCCCGAAGACGTGGGTTTCACTCCTCGACGAAACATCGCAGAACCAACAGCTGAGCAGCTCCAGGACTGGCAGCTGCACGAGCGGAGTTCCGACCACGCTCCACTTCGTTCCCACTCAAAATCCAGACGCGAAATAAATTCAGGACCGCAGTCGTTACGAGGCCTTTGCGTAATTGCAGATGCTTTCACATGCAGTCATTGGGCGCCGGGTGGGAAAGATTGACGCGGGTTTCAGAAGCTTCCAATACAACCACCAATGTCCAATATCCGGAAGATGTGACTCTGCACAAGGGGGTGTATGCGCGGCTGAATGGAGTTCCAAAGCCCCTGCGCGATGAATTTCCACCTGCTCGACAACACAGCACATGACTCGTGCAATTAAGTTTGATCTGAACATGAAACGGCAAATCGCCTGAGATGCGGCTGCAAAAACACTACATCCGACGTCCTGCCAAACGCCTGCTCATCATTCTGGCATATCCTGGCATGGTCCTACAAAGCCTGGAGAAGTTGGGTCAGAACACGTCCGGCCGCTTTGATGGTCAGAAGTCGAGGGTTTCACTGCTGCTTTTTTCCGTTATTGACACACGCCAGGCCTTCTGTGGGTTCTGTCGAGGAGGCAGTTTCTGTTACATGCTACATCGTGCTACTGATAAACCTGGGCGTGCAGTAGGCCATCCTGACACCAAGGGTAAATACCGCATTTTGTGTAACTGGCCTTTGTTTACCCTATGTTTCTTTGTTTCCTGCTTACTGGGGGGACGCATGCTGCAGTGTACCAGGGCTCAAACTCTCTCAATCCCCAACGCCCAGCACAACCCATCATGGCCATGTTTCCTGCAATCCTTCCCAACTAGGCATAGCCTAACTATAAGGCTTCAGGTGCCGAGATTTCCCCTAGCAACACACAGTACACACATGGGAGATTCAGAAAATAAGGGGTACCGTATTTTGGGGTCCTTATAATAAGGATCCTACTATTTAGGGTACTATATTAGGGTCCCCTAATTTCGGAAACCCTCACATCCTCTGTTCTGCTGGGGGCCAGTCTTCAGGCGTCTTTGGCCTAAAATGCATCCAGCCGCTGCGCGAACATGTGACGGGTCACCTCGTCACGCTCTGTGCCCTCTCGACCATTGCGGAGAATATGGAGGAGAAGTGCGCAACCTCGCACTGTAGTTCCAAGCAGGTCCTAAGTCGATTTCTGCAGTTTCTCAGCCCATGCTCAGACAGTAAAACTAAACAGGCTTGCCCAAAACTGGAAACAAAGAGCATGCAAAACACTCACCAAGTCTTGGCCGGCGAGCTCGAGGACACGGACATGATCTTGGCAGTTGTGCTTGATAAGGATCACGCACCATCGTCGCAACACGTCGACGTTCGACGAAGCATTGAACCCGTATGCATTGCCGATATGAACCACGCTGTCACGGTATATAGATGTACTGTCTTGCAGCAGGTCCAAGAAGAAGAGCTGCTGTAGAACCGTCCACTTGACCTGTGCCACAGGAAGACAGCAGGGGTGCCCATGATGGCTCAATGCCCAAAGCACGCATCAACCACATGTAACACCTTGTCGAAATTTCTTGGTCTTTGTTGCCTGACCTTTGCATGCTTCTTGAGGGTAGTACACAGTATGGTTAAGGGTTGAGTCTGCCCCTGCCGCTGCAGTTTGGTGGCTTCCCGTCGATACCTTCGTTCCACCATGGTTTGTAGATTGACTAATGCTTTCTTGCCACTTTTTTCACTGACGCTTTGGTTTGGGGTTGGGGGATGCAGTTCAGTTTCAAAGGAAGGCTCGAGAACGCGGAGTGCACCAGCAACACCGTGTCTCTTCTTTCTGGTAGGTGTAATGCAGGTGTATCGGACGCGACACACTCTCGATGTGCGCGACTTGTGGGCTTCAGATCCGGTTTCTAATACACAGACACACACGAACAAATCGACTGTCACATCGCCAGGCATAGGGTATCTTTTCGTCAATCTGTCGACCGGAGGCCTCGGGCGTTTAGGTAGATCCGCAGCCAAGGACCCGGTATCAGCATCTTTGCCGCCCTCACCAACGCCCGTCGGCTCGACTTGGATCGGCCGATCATTTGGCATGTTTCATGTAGCGGGGAAAGTTACATCAAAAGGGGACAGAGCAGGTATGTCTGGGGACGGGGAAGCGAGGGCGCATTATTGGGGCCTGCGTTTTGTTTGGGCCGGCTCAAGCAATCATTGTCCCTCTGCCCCTCTGTTGGTTGCTGCTTCAACGCAGCTGCTGATTCATAGTTCTGCAAGCTAAACGCAACGCAGTCATGCCCTGGTGAAGCTGGAGGTCGGCCACAATCGTCGGGGAGGACCAATCTTAGCGATTTATTGTTGACACCTGCAAAACATCACCCAGGAACCTGTCACATAACCAGGCTCTGATCTTTTCAGTGCAGTATGCCTTGACATGAATGGCCGTCCGAATGATTAGCTTGTTCAGCTTGTCCTCGCTGCCACCGACAACTTCGACCGGGATGATGTCCCTCAGTTGAATTTTTTCTGCATGGGCATTCACGGTCCATTCCGATTAACTCATGTGCACGTTTTCTTGTCCAAGAGTCTCCCAAGCGCTGACGACCTGCAAGCGGCGAAGGCCATGCTGAGCAAAACGATTCGAACTGTGTGCGTGCGTGTGAGTGCTTGCATGGGTGTGTGTCTGTGTGTAGGTGTGCACATGGGTGTTTGGGTGTGTGTGTGTGTGCGTGTTGCTTCTGCGTGCATGTGTGCTTGCGTGTGCGAGCGTGGGTTAATCTGCATTCGTTCATGTGCATGTGTGCCGGAAGCCCTGATTCAAATCTAAGGGTTCATGGCAAATTGTTTCAACACGCACGTGGAATTGGTACGAGATCAGGGACCACGTCCTTACGCAGCACCTCATGGAAGCAAGGCTTGGCCAGCTTTGTGTACCCTGCTCCGGAATGGCAAACAGTTAGAGCCCAAGACCTTCCACCATTTCAAAGTTCACGGACTCCAGGATGTGGTGCTGGAGTATTGCAATGCAAGCTGTCACGTGTCAGTTCGCAGGACCTAAACCCCGTAGGACCGCACATTTTCCAGATCGATTGACATCAAACCAATAATGTATGACATGATATACAGCCGATGAAACACCTACCAGACCTATCACTCTCCGTGTGAGGGCCTTGCTACCCGCAAAAAGAATAGCCGATTTCCGGACTGAGCCGGGAATGACCATGTAAACAGGATCGGGCAAACTTGTGAATCCTTGCGTGCGCCAATCAATGCGCACTTGGCTCTCTTTGTCTTTCTCTTCTTCTCCAGGGCATGAGGGGCGGTTATGTGATGGGGCTTTGGAGGAGTGTGAAAGACCAGGATTTGTTCCAAGACAGGATGAAAGGATAGATGTTTGTAAAGAGACCAGGCACCAGTCAGCTGGAACAAGCCCGAGGGGTTTACCAGGAAAACATGCCAAACTATTTCTCCTTCCGAACATGCGCCGGCTGGGTGTTCGTGGTCGGAGAGCGGAGCGAGATTTAATAAGTCTGGTCCCCCTGCCAAAGGTTACAAAGGATCCAGCATGCTACATACCCTGCAAGAGTGACTTCAACAGATTCGGCAGGCGGTCTGTGCATATGCTACAGTAGGGTCATGTGCCATGGAAATCGTCACGACCGAGTGCACAGCAAGCGCCGGGCCCATGACAAGATATCTACCACATCGCGAAAAATGGGTCATGAGTGGCTCGGTCGTTCACATACTCATGTCAAACAAGCAGCTCTGTGCCGAGGGAATCCCTCGATCTACAAGGAGCCTCAAACCACTTTAAGTACCAAATATAGTGAAAAGTATGATCCCGTTGTGGGAAATCCCGCGGCAGTCACAAGAAACAAGCATGTTTGGCACACCTACTCTTGGTGGGCACGAGTCTCTGCAGGATCCCACGACGAGGAGTATGATGACAAATAGAGAATAAGACATAGCATAACAGTGTTCTCGGAGACTGCTGTGCCTTCAATGGAAATCGTCACGATCGAGTACACTTTTTCGGAGAAACAGCTCTATTCACCGGACCCATGTCAAGCTATCTACCACATCGCAAAAAATGGGTCATGAGTGGCTCGGTGGTTCACATACTCATGTCAAACAGCTCTGAGCCGAGAGAATCCCCCGATGCACTCAGGAGCCTCAGACTATTTTAGTACCGAGTGCTCTGACCTCTACCTGAAAGACATACAGTGCACTTGCGTTTGGCTCTCTCGTCTCTACTTGGTGCGTGCCCGCATGACAGTTCTCCGCCCATGTCGGAAAGCAAAGGATAGGAGCACGGTAAGGCCATCCAGGCTATAGGTTGGCGCGAGAACTGGCTTTGTAGCTGACTGTTAGGTTCGTCAAGCTAGGCCACATGTGGTCCCTCCCTTGTCAGCTTCTCGATCAAGAAAAGAACAGAAACGAGAGACAACGCGCTGATACAACAAACGACGGCTGTGCTTGGGGTTCCCAGGTCAAAGGTCGGAGCTTGCTCCGAAGGGCCCAGCAGCGCCAAGCAACGCATGAGGCTCAGCTTTTCAGGCCCCTCATGAAACATCAAGCCGACCCAGCAGTCCGCGCCAACATATGCCAAGCACTCACCTTTGCGGCCCACACACTACTTAGACAAGAAGTTTCAACTATATACCACTCCAGCATCACGAACGAGCAGGAATGTTGCACGGCATGCCTCTATTCGAACTGACTGTTGCGAAGTCACCCTCCGCAAGCAGAAGCAAATAAAAACTGGCCACCACCGCACCAAGAACATGCCTCAGGTTGCAGCTTCCCGAGGGCACATGCACCTACACATCACGCAGCCGCAACGTGCAAAGACGCAGGCATGGCCGTCAACGGTGAGGCACCATGTTTTTTGACCAGTGAATGTGCCTTGCACATTAACACAACATAACACAACCATGATCCGGGCAAGCCTCAGGACCAACGAGTCAATGCCTAGCGTGTTGTGCGACTAACCGCAGGTATGTTGGTTGTCGTCGCAAGTCTGGGTCGCAGGCTTTGGAGAGTGCTAGTGCCACCAGGAATCGGGAGCAGAGAACAAATGGACCAACCGGACGCCAGCTATGCACCGGCCGTTGTTGTCTCCACAGCCATTCCCATGATCTGGCAGCAGGGCACCATCGCCGAAGATTTCATTACTGCTTGTTGCATGATGAACATGCTTACGACTACTAGTACCTGTGAGATGGTAGTTTCGACATCTTCATCCGGACGTGTACCTTCAGGCAGAAGCCGTTCACAGAAGGTGATATCGTCAATTTCGTTTGATTAGTGCTTGATTTCATGTTGCACATGTGTGAGCGTGCATGCGGTTGCATGCGAGCATGTTCGCATTGGTGTGCGCGAATGCAAGCAATGCATCCATGTGCGCCTGCGCTCGTACCTGTGCGTGCGGGTGGGCGTGCGAATGTCTGTGCCTTCTCAACCTCGCGAACTTCGGCAAGACCTGGCTCGGCGCTCAGCTATCTTGCGAAGCTTAGCCGGCAATTGAGGCTTCGACTGCTTGCTGCACGGAGCTGCTTCCGAAGCTGCTCGGCACACCAATCATCCTCAGTGACGACATGGCATTGGCTTTAAGTTGTCGATGCGCAGCAGTTCATCCTCGGGCTTGTGCTGGTGGCCACTCAGCGAGGTCCATAGACTCTTCTGCAAGCCCAACCGGAATGAGTCAGATACTGTTGTAAACACGAGTGCCACTTTGAAGTAACTTTGAAGGCTCCCGCAAGGCCTTTCAAAGCAGCAAGCGCAACCTCCGCGACTAAAACGCGCTGCTGGCAACTCGCGATGGGAAATGCGGTCCTCCTCAAAAATCGGTACATCTCGACACTTTCCCCTGAGCCGACCTGGGCCAAACAACTTTTTACGGCACCTCCATGGCCGGAACAACCGCGCACGTCCAGCAGTCATAGGCGAGGGCTTGAAAGCAGAAAAAAGAGTTTGTTTCAAGAGAGCCGAGCAGCTGACGCACTAAAGTGTCATTCTCCTCGGGGGACAATGACCTGATGCGAGGCGATTCTTTGCACGACTGGATTCCTAGATCGCTGCTAACTGCTCCCACACCCACACCCACACAGCCACACACGAACACGTACACACGTAGACTGGATGTTGCGTAAGAGTTGCTTGTTGGATCGTAGAATTCCCAATCAGGAGAAAACGACGAAGCAATCGCAATGGCTCCACCCGGCACCGACGATTGCGAGCGTGGCGGGGAAACAGACTTCGAACTGGGAGCCTGCTGCCAGTCGCGGTCGTTCCAACCCGACGATCCGCCTTGTTTCCAAGCCGAACTCGACCATGAATTTGCGGACCAATCCCGGTTCCACGACATGGTTCGGTATTTCGGGTTTTTCGGACACTACCTAAGGTGGCTTCAGATCCGAGAGCGTGGTCTGCAGATAGAAAAGCCGGTGGTTCCATCGGATCTCCGAAAATCGATACCCGCCATGAAACCTGGCATCAAACCCTGCATGACGCAAGTAACGAAGGAATGCGACACTCCTGATTGGATCGAATGCCGGCACCATCGGATCAGCAATCTTCTTGGGACCTGTGGGTTCCACGACGGGAACCAATCACTGCATCACTGTCGAAATCACAAACAGCCTGACAGGAACATGCAAGGGTAACCTCGCCGCAGGTAGCACGATAAACGAATACATGGCCAGCTTGCATCTGGCAACTACCTGGTACACACTTAGGCATCCATCTCGCACTCGCAGCCACTCATCGGTGTCTTGTCCAGCCCCGCTGGACGTCTTCATTGGAAGATCAACTTCCAGAGGTTCCGAAACCAATCTGGACTCAGCACTCATCAGTTGTATTGTTTTGTTTTGGACCTGCACATGGCATCAAAGCTCCAGACAACAAACACGAAAAGGTGCAAACCTCGTCAGTATCGACGCCAGGTTTCTGGCTTAGCTTGGTTGCCATTCTCAAGACAATGATATTTATCGACCTCAAGTTTATCGCTTTTCCTGGTTGCCATCCTCTTTACAGACAGTTATGTTGAAATGGCCACAAGCTGCACTATCAAGTG